CCTCCTTTCCAGCTCCTCTCAGCTGCCTGGGAGCGCCGCGCTCGCCCGTCCATCACGCGGCTCCGGCGGCAGGAACAGCTGCTCTCCCYGCTCCCGCTGTCCCGGAGGTCACTGAGCAATTTGGGGCTGATGGATGAGATGCTCTGAGATGATTTCTGAGCATGCCATGGGACAGATCCAATCCTTTCCATAGAGGCTCTTCCAGCCGCTGGGAATTGCTCTGGAATGGGTCCTTTGATCCCTCTGGAGCCCGGGGCTGTCTCCCAGCACCAGATCCCAGGGATCTGCAGATGGGGCTGCCCAAYTTTCAGAATATTCCCTCAATGATCAAACAATCCCCAGACATATGGAATGACTCCAGTCACAACGTTAAGAGCCAGTGAAACACTCAGGAAGCTGAGGATGAGACACAGGATGAGGTGCCGGTTGGTGCCGCAGGCAGAGAAACGCCCCGTGCCCGCAGCTGCCAGCGCCCCAGGAGCCGAGGRCAAAGCAGCAGAACCGATGTGGCAYTTTGCCAGCTGGCTGCCATCTCCTCAGCACTCAAAGTCACCGTGCCCCCCACCATTTCCRAGCTCCTCATCCCATTTTTCCGCCGCCGCGCACGGAAACGCGGCCGCGGCGGATCCGCTGTCGAACACGCCGCCTTCACAACGTGACACGGAGTTTAAGAACTCACCGAGAGACTAATTACTGCTGGAAAATGGCAGGCCCAGCTCAAATTCCTGGAGCTGCAGCTGACAGCACAGCCCGGCCCCCCCGGAGCTGCTGTCACCCCCTGTCCTGCTCGGGGCTCCGATCCCGCGGGATCCWGAGCAGCACCTTAGCCAAAACTGAAATGTTTCCAATTAAAAACTGCCAGCCCTCCTCTCTGCTTCCTGTCCTTCCCAGAAATAATATTTATTCATTCCTAGATAAAAATGAACACCTCAATAGTTACAATTCGAAAAGGAAATACTGAGAGATGATTGATCCGGGATTGAGGAATCAGCTCACATTGATCTGGTTGTGTGTAAGAAATAAAATCTAGAGTTTTCTATCTGGATAATTCAAATTTCCCTGGAATTGGGAAATAAAGCCACGTGAATTCCCCTCAAATGCCATTTTGCCCAGGAGAATTGAGCTGGGAGAACGCATTGTTTTCCATGACATGTGGAGTCATTTCCATGTTTTCAGCAGAACTGAGGAGGAAAAACATCTTTACTCCCTTTGGAGCTGCCTGAGGAGTGTAAAAGCTTTAAACTGCCATGGTCAGAATTGGGGGAATTTCACCAAAATGCCATCGTTTTTCTCCCTTTTTTTTTCATTGACATTCAAATGTGGTACAAAGAGAAATCATCTCAAACTTACTTTTCCTTCTCCTGTTCCTGTTCCTTTTCCTTTTCCCTTTCTTTTTCCCTTTCCTTTTCTTTTTCCTTCCTTTTCCTTTTTGGGATGAGTTACTCAGCGAGCTAATCTTGATATTGATAAAGATAAAAACAATAATTAGAATTAGAAAATTATTATTAAAAACTACCAATGATTTCAGGCCTAGAATAGAGATTTTGGGGCATTTTATTCATTCCTGGCAATTTTCCTGGCTTAGGAAGCAGCTCTAGGATTTCCTCAGGGTTTTCCCATGTGCATGGAAAAAATTGGAGCCATTGGAAAGCCAGGATTGGGATTATTGGTCAGGATGGGGTTAATTCTGCACATATTTGGTGATTTAAATGGCTTTTTTTGCAGGAAAAAATGCTTTTTGGGGTTTGATGCTGTGATGATTTGTGCTTTTCTTAGTTCCTCCACCCCAATGCAGGACTTGGGATTTACAGAGGTACAAAGCACAAAAAAAAATTGGAGAAAAATCAAGGAATATTTCCTGGTGGTTCATTTAAGGGAAAAATGAGGGAATGTTGTATTTCTGAGTGGCAGAGAAGGCCTGGGGAGCAAAACACCCGTTGGAAAGGAAGGAAAATCACGGATTGAGTTGTGCTGGATGTTTTGTTTGGCAGGAAGCTGCAATCGGAGATTTCCCCCCGTGTTAATGACACAGCATTAGTGACACTCCAGTGCATCCCACAGCTACAATTCCTGCCTGCTCTGGAATTTGGGAAATTCAGCTTTTGGGGGAAAAAAAAAGCCTTCAGAAAAATCCAAATGCTAAAAACGTGAATGTGATGGAAACTCCTGGATGTTTCAGTTTAAAAGCATCAACGTGGAAATGAAGTGTTTTGGTAATTTTTACATAGGAGGAAATGCAATCCTGAAATTAAATGGAAAAGTATTTTTCCCTTTGGCTTGGGAATCCTTTTAAAATTCTCTCAGTGAAAATTTTAGGGAAAAATGTATTAAATGTATTAAATGTATTAAATGAAGTGGAATTCAGGGAATAACTTGGATTTGGGGAAACACATGGCAGGAGCTCAAAACTGGACTGGGTGCTCAGGAAATCCATGGAAGGTGATTCTTGGTGAGTCTGAGAAACTCTTAAATTTTCAACAGAATTTTTCAATTGGGGGCTTTTCCACGTGGGATATTCCGAGGGAAAAACAACTCTTGGAGTTAGAACTGAGGAAATTCCGGAGATAAATGTGATTAATGGATAATTTGGGATGTTGGAGGCAGCTGCTGATCCCCCTGTCTGATCCAGGGATGTGATATTTGAAACCTTCAGGAAATGGGGGAACTCAAGATTTATTTAATCTCAAATAACCTCATTCTTTGACWGAGGGAATTTTGGTGTACAGGCTCACTTTTCCCAAAATGTATTCCCTGAATTTCTTCCCTAAATAAATACACGCTCAGAGCRTTCCCAATAATACCCTTGAGTTAATCACATCCTAATTAATCAATGATCAAGTCTCATTAAAGGGGGATAACAGARCTCCTGACTCCCACCTGCTGCCAACACGTGCAGGAGGCACCTGAAGAATTTTTGGGATGAATTTTGGGATAAATTCCGTAGGGTTTACAAGCAAACACCAAGGGAAATACTMATTTTAATTAAATTAAAACTCACGTTTCAGCTAAATTATATCCGAAAAGAGGAAATCCCATATTTTTTTTTTGGGAAAAAACCTCCAGGTGCAGGTTCTTGTTGTTTTAACGTCATTTTGAAGTTATTGAGGTGCGTTTTTCCCGTTTTTCTGATTTGACTGGAGAGGCCCAGGTGGTTGCAGCTGCCGTTCCCGGCTCCAGGTAAATCCGGGAGCGCATCAGAAGCGGGATTTGGACTAAAAGGAGGATTTGTGACCCCGCAGGGGTGACACGCGTGTCCCCAAACCCCGCAGCGCGTCCCGAGCCGTTCCCGTTCCCGCAGCGCCACCTCGTGGCGTCCCCCGGAACTGCCGGCGGGAAATCCCGCGGGAAAAGCCCGGCTCTGACCCCAAAAATAAAAATATTCTGCGTTTTATTCATCTTCTATAACACGAGAATCGAACTTACCAAATAGCTCAGGTAGCAATGAGGAAAATCCTTCAACGAGGCGCTTCCCCACGAGGGCACAAAAGCAGAAGCGGGAATTTTTTTCGTATTAAAAATTATTTATTTTTAGATATAATTCCGTGTTTTATATCCCTGCAAACAAAGGAGTAAGGAATTAGGAGAGGAATTAAACATGCCATTGACCAAYACAGCTCTGGGAGTATCCTGGATGGTGTAGTGATAGTGAAAACAATCCCAGAAAATAAGGTTTTGTTAGACAATTTCCAGTTTTCYATTTGGAAAAAAAAAAATCTTTTTTAACAGAAAATTCACTAGGGATGAACATCCAAACGTGCCAAGGCAGAAAAGAACCGCCCCAGTGTGTCCAAGGAACAGCAATTAGGCGAGGATTTAAGTTTTAATGGGATTTACGTAATTAAAAATGCAGTAAATTTAACTCTACAAAGAGATTAATTATGGCAATTAAACACTGAGCAAGTTTTCCTGGGAATTTACAGAATTCTATGGATATGGTGCTGATCAATGCCTGATGTACCAACATTAATTTGGTAAATTTTCTTGGAAATGTGCCCTAAATAGTACAAAAATTCCAATTAGGATGGAAAAGTAACATTTGCAATAAATATTCCCTGAAATCAGAGAGAGAAAAAACATCCARGAAAAGAAGGAAGGAGAAACATTTAAATCCCAGCTCGCCTGGGAAACAAGATCAGAGATTTTGTTGTGTTAAAAACTTTTGGAACGCTCAGGAATTTGGGTGGAAATGCAGGGAATGATGATTTAAAATCTGTTTCCTCTGCTCCCATTTTGGAGTAAATGGGAATTGCAAAAGTGAAGTTACTCCTATCCAAGAATTATCTGTATTTGCTGGGAATAACAATCCAAAGGAACTCCAATTTTMATTTTATTTGGCAACAAAGGAGCCACAATTCTTTGGGAGTACCAAACTTGGCAAAAAGTCAGGAATTTTTATTTCCAAATCCATGGAAGAGGAGGATTACACCAGGAACACAGTCCAGCTCAAAGCAATGATTTATTGGAAATGGCAGTAAATCAAACCGACAGTCTCTGGCTATGGTCAAGCAATTATCCAGGAGTCGAGGAGAAAARTGGGAATCTTGGACTGGGATAAGGCTTTGCTTCCTAGTGGCTCTCTCCTTTTTTGCCAACTACCTGCAAGAGGAAAAAAAAAACAGGAATTGAGTTTAAACCTGGGCAGGAATTTGGTGTTTAGATTTGAGTGATGTTTAGATTTGAGGCCTGGCAAAGCACAGCAATCCCAGTTTAGTGCTGGGACACACAGCAAGGCTGGACTCAGTTAGGAGCTGGGAAACATCCCAAAATAATCCCAATTAACATCAAGAGTTAAACCTCAACACATTCCAGGAGAAATTCCAGCGGGGAGAACCCTCCTGGATGATCCAGGGGAGGTTGTTCCTTCCCCATGGCAGAGAATATCGACCTCAACGTGCAGAAATAACCCAAAAATAACCCAGAAACCAGGGATTTTCAGGAGTTTAAAGAATAAACCCAAATCCCTTCCAGGCCTGAACCTCAGGAATGTTCTGGAAGCTGCTCCTTCCCCTGTTCAGACTGCAGGGGGGAGGAATTGTCACAGTCCAGGTGAGTTCTCTGTCCCACAATCATTAATTTAAAACCCATTTCCAAATTAAATTGGTCATTCCTGTRAATTTGTTTATTCCTGGCGTGATTCCAAACTGTGTTCACACACAGGTTAGGCAAAGAAGTGAGGGAGAAAAGGAAAAACCAAGAGTTTAAAGATTAAAAGTATGGAATATCAACAAAAATATTCGATACCGGTCGGAGGCAGAGAGGGACAAGTGGCCCATGTGGATTATCTGGAAAACCCAGCACATGGAGATGGATATTTTGGCATCTCAGCTCAATTTTCTGCCCATCCCATCCCATTTTCCCACAGGGAAATATTTATTAATCCCAAATGATCCACGTCCTTTCCTTTCTTTTGGGATATAAAGAAAGCCTGGGTGGAGCTCCACAGGATTTAAACCAAGCTGGATTGTTTAAGCCTGGTTAAAACCTTGTTTAAACCTTCAAATGGCAAGTTCAGCATAAAATTAGGACAGGCTTTGGCAAAAAGTGTTTAAGAGAGGAGGGGAAAGCTGAGCTGATGAGCCAGGAAATGAAGATGTTCTGGGATTTGAGCTGAGCACAGGGAGGGACAGCCAGGCCACACCAATCCCATTGTTACTTTGAATTTCTTCTGCCTTTTTTTTAGTTCTTTAGGAATGGGGAGTTAAGCTGGAAAACAAACAAAAGGAGTGTTACAAGTGTCCAAATTGTASAAGCAGCTGTGAGGAGAAAGCAGGAATTTATTTATTCAGAGGGGACACAATTACACCCCAATCTGTCAATATTTATCTGTGGCTCCTCCCACAACTCTCTTAGGGTGTCCCCTTTTCCATCAATCCATTCAAAACTCCTTTATTAAGTTATTACCAGCAAAGAAATTAAGTTTTAAGTTCAGTTAAGATCAAGTTTTGCTGCTAAAAATTAAGTAGGTGTCACGTTGGTGTTAGTGCTTTGAACCTTCTGAAATTAGAGAGTGTTTGCACCATCAATTAATTATTGAAGCAGTTTATTTTTAAAAAAATAATGAAGTTTCCAAAAAAGGGAGCTTTCAAAATCCAGATTTAAATCCCACAGCTATTTAAAAAAAAAAAAAAAACTGCCTTTGGTGTTTTTAACTTGCCAGCCCCTCGTGTTTTTTTTGYATTTATTTTTGGAGTTGATGATCCAAACTCATAGAAAACCCCAAAAATTTTCCCCTTGGATGTCCCAAACAGCCCAAGTTTGGAATTGTGGCATCACCAAGTTGTTTGTTGCCCCAGAAAATTCAAAATTTCAAGGAACTCACTCGTTTGAAGTCGTTCATGTTGGTGGCTTGCACTGGAGTGCCAATAAATGTGAAATATGTGATTCTTGTCGTCTCCTCATCGCCATGATTGGACTGAACAAACAACTGGAAAAAAAAAGCCAAAAAAAAGGAGTTCAATTTTTATCCCTGAATCGATACCTAAAGTGTCAGCTGCTTGAGATGTTTGAGCAAATTAAAGCTTTTTTCCAGTTGTAAAGGGCTCTGTCCTCTTCATTTAAATAATTCTATTTAATATTATTATAAAGTATAATAAATTAAAATTTATCCTATACTATACCACAATTCTATATTCTAGATATAAAATGAAATAATTTTATTGAAGTATTTAATATTAAATAATTATCTACAGATAATGCTGTTGTTTTTCTGGCTGTTTTATTAAAACCCCACCCAGCTGGGATTTTCACAGCTTCCACTTCCCACATTCTGCCAGCACCTAAAAAGTCCCAATTTCACAGGAATCTGAGTAGAAATTAAACCAGAATCAATTAATTTAATGCCGGGTGCATTCCCTAGCACAGGCTGCAGCACTCTGTGAAATTCCCTCAGGACAAAAAGGGACTCACAGTGACACTGTTGACATTCTGGAATTTTACATAACGGAGCTGGATGATCCCATCTTCTTTAATGTCATCYGGGCCCAGCTCCAGGGCCTGGGTGGGTTCACTTCGTTCTGCCTCCTCAAAATCCATCGAGCGCGGCAGGTTGATGAAGATTTTGATGTATTTTGGCCCTTGGCCTGGGATGGAAGAGATGAGCAGTAAATTCCACAGGGAATTTCAGAATTCCACCAAGTTGCATGGCATTTTATGGTTTATATAWAAAAAAACAAGGTGAAGCTTTCAGTGGCTCTCACCTTAARCCTGGAATTAAATCCAAGCTCTCTYTGAAGGGGATCAAACTATAAATAGATATCAAACTACAAGAAATTTGTGTATCACACTGTAATATCTGTGTATCAATGCATAATAAATAATTCTAATTGCACCAGACAYTTCACTCACCATTGTCTGGCCCCTGAAGTTTCATAGAGTAAAGCTTGACAGGCTGACTAAAAGCTACAGTGATAAGCAGCTGTGGAGAAAAAAAAAAGAAACAGAATTAAACACCAATTTCTTAATTTAAAACCAACTCAGCACAAGACTCTGGAATAAATGATGTGGCCACTTCTCACTATTTTACACATTTTGGATGTTTAAATCCCAGCAAACGCTGCTCTGCTTGGGAATTTTCAGTGTGGAAAGCAGTAATGCTGTAAGAACTTTGTACCCCAGTTTTTTCTACCCCTCCCAGCCTGTCCCAAGATCCCTGCAATAAAATATTCTCCTGGAATATGTGAGGCAAACCTGCTCGTCACAGTCGGACTCCAGGTAGGAGGAATCTTTGCGTAAACAATTCTCAAAGCCGTGCTCGTCGCTCTCGTTGAGGCACTCACAGCCAGCCTTGTTGATGAAAGGCAGCAGATCCATCTGGGAATARAGCAGGAGATGCTGGGATGGGGAATTGTGCATCCCAAAGGGACAGGGACACACACACACATCAATCAGACTGTCCCATTATTCATTAACAATCAAGAAATCAAGCCATAATCTGCAGGAAGTCATTCCTATGCACCACTTTTCCCAATATTCCTGTGCCATGCTTTTCTTTTTAACCACAAAGAAATACAAAGGGGACACTTTTAGAACCATCCCTTAGCAAACATGAGATTTTTTTCACTTTAAGAAATATTTAGGATGGCTGAGAAGGAATTTTTAATGTCTCCGTTCTTAATAAACCTGTACATGTAAATTTTTTTTTTCTGGAAAAAAAAGCCCAAATTATTTTCTTGAGCAGCTTYGCTTAAAATCCTATAATTTAACTTAAAGCACATTTGAAAATCAAAAAGTTTTTAAAATCCAAGCTCCACAAGCATTCCAACACAACTCTGGGAAAATACTCACATATCCTTTTGGGATGTCTGTGTCCTCACTGTTGCCAGGATCATTTTCCAGGTGCTGTTTGATTTTATCTTCCAAACCCACAGCATCTGCTCCTTGGTATTGATCAATCCGTACTTTATTCCGGAAAAACAGGAATGTGGGGGTTGCTGAGATGTTGTTGGTGGCAGCTGTGCCCTGGCAGCAAAAATGAGTGTTTGTTCACTGCTTTAGGTCAGTCTCACCTAAACCACTGACAATAAATCCATAAATTCAATTTTGGCTTCAAGAATTGCACTGGCAAAAGTTTTTAATTCACACTGATGCCATGCTCAATACCTGAAAATATTATTTTAGCAATACAGRTTAATTAATTAATTAATTAATGTGTTTTTACGCTGCTCAAAGGGCAGCACAGCAGGAACGTTTTTCCAACAGGAATTTTTGTAGGAATTTGGTATTATGGCTCTGTGGGATGCAG